AATTTTGCTATAAAATTAGAGATCTGTGGTGTGACTGACAATATCGAATATGACATTTATATATCCACAAATGGTAAAATAATATATCTTTATATATACATGTAAAGTATATACACGACCCACCAAAAGTATGATATAAAACATGGGCAAGGCCCATTATGCTATAGTACAATGATTATGAAAAACAAATATTAAACAAAAAAGAAAGGACAACCTCTTTATTTCTAGGGACAGTCACTTATTATAATGATGATAATTTAGTACTGACATGAGGTTTAATGTATTGTACAGTTATATATCAGCTGCTGAACCAGGGTGGTGGTGGTGGCAATTAAGTCAACATTAGGAGTAAGACTTATAAAACTTCTATGCAATACGTTATGTAGCTCTAAAGCTCAGAAAGGGGGAGCCCCCTTTCCTAAATCCACCTCTGAATATTAAATTTCTAGAAGGATTTGACACTCTTAGAAATTGACCCTGCAAGTGACACATTAATACAAATCTTTTCAAAAAGTGTTATTTTCATTTGATAATTTCAGAATTGACAACAAATGTAACTAACTAACTTTATATCTGTACAATGTTAACTTATTCTTTTATATGCAAGATTCTTTTACTTTTATTTTGAAGAATTTGCCATCAACAAATTCAACTTTAAGGACAGCGAGTTCAATGGGACACTGAACGAAAAGATACACACATGTAACAGGACTACCTATAGACGACAGAGAACAAATATTGTTTTATTAATTCACAGAAAATGCCATAAATGGAAAGATTTTCTAAAGACATTCTCCTTACTCATCCATCAAATTCCATCTGATGGTCAATTCTCCATCAAGTTTCCATGCATTTTACATGAAATGGAAATATTCCATTGGTTTTCCATCTGATAGCAAAATTACCATCAGTTTTCCATCAGATGGCAAAAATACCATCAAATATCCATCAGATGGCAAAAATACCATCAATTATCCATCAGATGGAAATTATGCCATCAATTTTCCATCATCATGAACACAAATTCCATCAAACCTTTTCCATCAACCATTTTCCAGCATTGATGGAAAGTTGATGGAAAGTTGTTCCAATACTCCATCAACATGATGGAATGTGATGGCATTTTTTCCATCACAAAATTCCATCATGTTTGATGGAAAATCTAGGGAAGGGATTGAAATTATGGTGAAAACTAAAAAATTTGGTAAATGAGGAATATTCTAACATAAGTATTTGTTGATGTAGGTGGCCACTGTTAATTTTTTTCAAAATGCAGTCATAAATTTTGCAAAATTATGCCAAAAATCAGTTTATAATGAATTTCCCTACATTATCAACATCACAACAACACCACTTATGATGCAATCAATTAAAATCTTCTTTAACAGAAACAATTAGACATTATAACATATGCCTTCATCAAATTATCATCACATTTAAAAATGTTCAGATTTTAGGGCAAAAATAAGGAGTTTTAATAAAAAAAAAAAAAATTTCAGACTGATACTGTGTAAATATTCACTGCAAAAAACTAAGTTAATCTATTAGTAAAATACTGAAAAAGCAAAAGATCCCGCTAACATGTTTGACTTTGCCATATTCTGTATGTATGCACCTGTCCCAAGTCAGGAGCCTGTAATTCAGTGGTTGTCATTTGCTGATGTGTTACATATTTGTCTTTCATTCATTTTTTGTACATAAATTAGGCCATTAGTTTTCTTGTTTGAATTGTTTTACATTTGTCATTTTTAGGGCCTTTTATAGCTGACTATGGGGTATGGGCTTTGCTCATTGTTGAAGGCCGTACAGTGACCTATAACTGTTATTTTCTGTGTCATTTGGTCTCTTGTGTAGAGTTGTCTTATTGGCAATCATACCACATCTTCTTTTTTTTAAATGACTGAAGGTGCAGGGCTGAATAACCTCTTTGAAAATTGTAAATGCCAATACAACTGCATACCAAATACCATTGACTTCTCATATGTAAGTTCCCTTTAAACTGACAAACACAAATTTTAACATCTAAACAATGCAAAAGTTTCCAAGTCAATAAACTATGGGTGGCAGGGCCATATAAGAGGGAATGCTATTACAATTACATACTAAATATCATTGACTTAGTGTTATTGGTTAATGTAAAGTCACAAATCATTGCCAGGTTTTTATTATTGCGAAAAATGCGACAAAGTTGTTAACCCAATAATTTAATCTCGCATTTTGAAATATTTTATATGAATTAAACAGGATTTTTCTCAAAAATCGTAAAAATTAAAATCGCATTACAAAATCGTAAAAATTAAAATCGCATTTAAGTCTAAACTGACAAAATCTCAACAATAAATGCACACAATAATTTCTGAATTTACAGTAATCATAAACTGATTAATCACAACTTCAAAATGTAAACTATGCAATTTAAAGGACTGAGGGGGCTGGGCCAAAAAAAAGCCATGGAAATGAGATGCATCACCTTGCAGACAACACAAAACATGTAAATTCAGCTCAAGTTTCTAAGTCAATAGACCATGACTGAAGCGGCAGGGCCAAATAATCTCCATGAACTTGATGTGTCAATGCTAATACAACTGCATATCAAATACCACTGACCTACCAATTGTGGTTCTCCTTGAATTGACTTATTAGCAAACTTATACATGTAATCTAAGCATAGATGTTTCATGTGTTGGCTCTCCAATAATTGGGAATCATTCCTGTTTTTTTTTTTGACATATGGAATAATTTGGAATAGCATTTTATATAATACGTAAACTATTGTTGAAATCATACCACAAAAATAGTCTCAATTGTTGTGAAATGTTCCAAAGGTACCGTCTTGAAATGAATTACCCTTTATATGTGGACTAACAAATTATTTGGGGTCTTCCATGTATTGATTTACCATATCTAAGTTTACTTCCTAGCAAGGTTCTATGTGCGAAAACACTGCTTCTGCACTGCTTTTAGTTTGTTTTCGTTTATGTGACCTTGAACTTAAGACATCATATTTGATAGGATCTTTCTCATTAAATAACATATATCCAAATTTAGGTGAGGCCTTGGTGGCGTTGTTGTCGGAGTAGTTAAAACTACTGTATCACTAGCCTTTCAACCAGAGGTAAGTTCGAACCCTGCATGTGGCAAGTGCACTTGACTCATCTTAATGGACTATAATTGTCAGTTTTCCTGTCGAAGGTTGTGGTTCTCTAACGTACTACCTCTAGCCAATGAATCCAAATACAGATTAAATTGCAGCATAATTCCTTGAAGTTCCCCAAAAAACCTTTCACTTCCATTTTTGATCTGTGGCTTTCGACATTTTAACCTCAAACTAGATCAACATACCCTTAATTAATATTCTGACTCCAGCCAACCAGTCTATAAAATAAGATGTGGTATGATTGCTGATGAGACAACTAGTCTATAGGTGCTCCAAAGTTCAAATGAGGCTAATTATAAGTAGCTAAATGTTGCTGTACAGCCTTCAACAATGAGCAAAATCAATACTGTATACCAGGAAGTTTTCTATATAATCCCTAGGACAAAACAAGGGGAGATGATTCAAACAAGAATTAACAGACTAATTTATAACCAAATAATTTATGAAAAACAAATGTGACAGACAAGTACTTCTTCTAAATGGATTGTGTCCTTGGCATTGAAGCTGCAAATACCAGTTTTTATGTCTGACCTAGCCTCAAGGACATAGTCGGTCATCAAAATTGATGAATTATGCTAGGGTCAAGATATTTGTAACAAACTCATACCTTTGAAGAGGAACTAAATAAGGACCTTTCAATTTTTCAACTAACAGAAACGTTTCTATGTAATTGTTCTTTATTAAAAAGAGAGACAAACATATGGTAACATAGAAAAACATACACCCTGCATTAAAAAACCCTATAGGGAAAAAGCATGGGTGTGTAATTGTAACAGATATTTCAAGAGTACAATTGTCATGAACAAACAGGGTTGTTTAAGTGGAAGAACTATATATTATAATTACATCGAGACTACCACATGTAAAATTGTCATGAACAAACAGGGTTATTATCAACAGTGTGAAAGTTCAATTAAATCAATTTCATGGACAGGGTTTTTCATTTTGTTAGATAAATCTTTGTAAAACAGGCAAAATTTCGTAGCATATAAAATGCAGATATATCTATAGAGGTAAATTTCTATTTTGTATTCGACAGAGCTGATGAAATACTAAACATTTTGAGTTTAATAAAACTTGATCAAAAACACCTTCAAATATTGGAGATTAATCTTGTTACACAGAAATTAGTATTTTAATAATTCTGTGACACTTAATTAAAATCAATCAATCAATCATTAATCCCAATAAGAAACCTTAACCTATAACTACTTATTAAAAGGGTGGGGGTGGGGTGAGGTGTGTGACGAAAGAAGGGGTGAATCAAACTTAAAATAAGGGTGTTGACCAAGCTGTCACCATTATTCTGTAGTCATTATATTTGGGACACGAAATTGGGCTTGGGGCAAATAATATCAGATGCATTTTTGTAGATGATGACTTGTAAATAAAATTTGAAATCCCCATGCCAAACCAAACCCCTTAATGCATTATCTAGACCTCTGTTTACAAGCTTTTTTTTTTACAGAGCTCTAAAGAATACTTTCATCTTACTTTATATACATCTGATATAACTTATCTAACTTACATTGATACATAAAAAAATGATAACTTATATATTCTTAGATGTTGACCTTCCGTGCAGTGACAGAATTTACAAGTATGAAGAGAAAAGCAGGGGTATTCCCTCCCCTTACGCCTCAATCTCAGCCTGCTAGTCTCTCCATTCACCAATAAATGTTAGTCAGGAAGGCAACTAATGCAATTCTGTAAAAAATAACAAAACATTTTATACACAAAAAATATCAGATGCATAAAAAAAAAAAAAATCATTGTAAATATACCGAAAATATTTAACCCACATTTCATACCACCCAGTTATTATCTAGAACTCTGATCACAATTCTTTTTTTTTTTTTTTTTTTTTCTTTTTTTTCTTTTTTTTTTTTTTTACAGAGCTCCAAATAACAACTCTCTTCAAATCGTATACATCTGATATGAACAACATTTGTACAAAACTTTTACCAAAGGAACTAACCAGTATGAAAAGATAAGCAGGGGTATTCCCTCCCCTTATACCCATTTCTCAGCCTGCCAGTCTTCCCATTCATCACAACTGGTGTTCCTGTTAAATAATTTACAGAACACTATAAAAAAGAGTGTTGTACATCTAGATTGGACATAGTGTGATGATAACTATAAAGATAATATACACTTGCAGTGCATCCTTAATTTTGTACTATGCTGAATACTTGTGGTTAATCTTCAACTAATCAATCAAATGTAAATAAATACAATTTAAAATTCATAGAATAGCAGCTTTGTCTGTTTTCCCTGTTTGTCCTTCATTCCCCAAAAAAGAATTTAATTATTTTAATGAAATAATGCAAAACTCTGTCTCAAATAAATGTTTAAACATTTTCCATCCTCATTCTTTATAAATAGTAATCATAAATGTATTCAAGATTGCATAATGAAACTGTACAAAATACCACAAATTATTTTTTTAACATTTTTTTTGTCATTCCTCACAGATTTATTCTAATGTAACCAAAACATCTTCGAAAAAAGAGATTTAAACCAATGGCAGCTGCCTGATTGTTCTCACTGGTCACACTAAAGTCCTCTACTTTAACTACTTCATGTATTAACTATGATCATTTAAGGGAGAACTGTAGGCCTCTGAAATTCTAATGTAATCGACATGTCTGGTTGAAAAGACATAAATCTTTACAACTGACTCTCTCCTATCCTTCCTCTCTCTCTCTCTCTCTATTGATTTTTACAAGAATACTAATACACTATATTGTTTGTCAATAATTGTTTCCAAGTCCATCCACATGGCAAAGTCTCTTCTTCTGCATCAGTTGATTTGTAATTTCTCAAGCTCAGTTAATCTACAAAGAAAAAAACAGAATGTCAATTAAAACATGGCAATTAAATTGACAAAATAACATTTTTAATTCTTGATATGTCAGAAGTGATTCATACCATATATACATATAGGATTGATTGATTGATTGTTGCATGCTTAATGTCCAGTGATCAATATATCATGCATATTTTGAACATGCTTAAGGTGGTATGGTTGTCTTTCGCCATCTTGGATTGTAAAAAACAGAGAATCTAAGGTCCAGATTTTCAATCAAGTTAGCAAAATTAGATGCAGAAATGTAGATAACTTATGTGAATTTGCATTTCAAAGAACAAATTTATAAGATTATAACTCATAAATATTAATATTTTTACAAGATTATTTCTGCTTGAATTTTAATAATTTCAAATTGGCATTTTAAGTGAAGTAACTCTGAAATAGTGCATTTTCTGAAGGAATCTACTTGGAATTTTGCTATTTTGAATTTTAGCCAGATAAAACGCACTGTGACCCTTTATTTTCTTTTGATATTTTCAAAGCATTTTCTAAAAGCTAACTTTTCATATTCTATTTTACAATTCTATCATTTAGTTTAGATTCTAATCACATAATGATGTTTTTTCCTGTATAATTCATACAAAATGTGTCATTTTGTAACAACCTGTAGCTTGAAAAAATGTGCTGTGACCTATCATTTTTATAATATTTTTGAACATATTTTAATATTTACTACGCTTTGGCAAAGTATGAACAAATTCTATCATTTTTAATTTAGACTCTCCCATACCACCTTAAAGGAAAGTTACCATGTCATTTTAATTTTTGCATCACATTTATAAGCATTAAACATAACATATAACTGAGAAACGAGAGTATTTAAACTTGCTAGTATCAATGTTTCTTATCAAAATTTCAAACTTTCAAATATTTTGGTCAAGACTGTGGCTCAGGGCTTTGCTCATTGTTGAAGGCTGTACGGTGACCTATAGTTGTTAATTTCTGTGTCATTTTGGTCTCTTGTGGAGAGTTGTCTCATTGGCTATCATACCACATCTTCTCTATTTTTTTATATTAACAGTATTATGGATAAAAAAGGTATGATGATAATCAAGTTTCCATTAATTTGTATAATTGAAGAAGCAATATTTCATAACCATTTTGTTTTTACTGTAAACTTACCTTGAAGTTGGTAATATAGTACTTCCAGGTCCTACTGTCCTAAGATCTTTAAATAGATCACATACAATTCTTATTTCCTGGATATCTGAAGAAGAAAAAATCATGTAGTCTCATCCTTAAAATTTTCCACTAAGTACTTTACTGGGCTGTGCAAACTTAAAGTACTGTTTCAGATTTTTATTTCTTTTAAGGTTATGCATGATTTTAATGTTACAGGTCAATTTTTGACTTGTAATGAGTAGTTTTTCACAACAGTCGCTACCAGTGGAGTCAAAGCTGCTTATCCTTTATTTTCTATTCAGAGCAAGTAAGTGTATATATCCTTCATTGTGGTGGGGTTTGTATTACTAATCTATTTTCAGGATGATTTTTTTTTTTATTGCTCCAATGCAAAAACTACCGGTGCAAAAAAATTTGGTTGAACACTTTATCAGAATATATTAATGTAGACCTTTGGCTTTATGCATTTATCTTGATAGCTTTTCTGAAAACACAGTGAATTAACACACCAAAAATAAAATAAGAGCTATAAGGTTAATTGCAACATGTAATCAGAGTAATGTTGCCATGTTTTTTTTTAGTATAATTACCTTGTCTTTTGTATGTAACAGCTTCAGACTCAGTTGTGATGTGCCTTTCTGTGAGATTTATCAGTTTATAGTCCACTAGTACTGTCCATCCACATGAATACTGGTCACATCAAAACAAATGTCAATAATTCACTTGCTGGTTTCAATTCTGAATTTTAAGTCTATTAACTTCAGTCAGTTCCATGTTTGAATATTTCATTGTCCACTTTTCTAACTGGTCGCATATATCATCATACAATAAGTCCATTAAGTCAAGACATTAAAAAACTGGTTATTATTAGAATATTTCATTATCACTATAGTTACCTATTTGATTCCACACATCTTCTATCATTGTGCCATTACTGGTATATTTTTTTTTAAATACCGGTAGGCAAAAAATTCAAAAGTGCCTATTTAATGTAATTTTTTCAGAAAATTTAGAAGCTTTTTCAATGTTTATTTAAAAAAGTTTAATTACCAAATAATTTTATTTAAAGAAAGGATAATTTAAATCATAATTTGATGAAAATGTTAACTATCAGCTGTAGGGGAGCTTACAAATTATACACAAAATTCACATGAAAGATAGATAGTTCTTGCAGCCTTGTGGCTCAATCTCTGGTGGATAGTTCTCATTGGCATTCTTACTAAATCTCATTGGCATTCTAACCACATCTCATTGGAATTCTAACCACATCTTATTGGCATTATTACCACATCTCATTAGTATTCTTAGCGCATCTCATTAGCATTATTACCACATCTCATTAGCTTTATTACCACATCTCATTAGCTTTATTACCACATCTCATTAGCTTTCTTAGCACATATCATTAGCTCTATTACCACGTCTCATTTGCATTCTTAGCGCATCTCATTAGCTCCATTACCACATCTCATCAGCTTTATAACCACATCTCATTAGCTTTATTACCACATCTCATTAGCATTATTATAACATATCTTTAGCTTTATAACCACATCTCATTAGCATTATTACCACATCTCTTTAGCTTTACTACCACATCTCATTAGCTTTATTACCACATCTCATTAGCTTTATTACCATATATCATTAGCTCTATTACCACATCTCATTTGCATTCTTAGCGCATCTCATCAGCTTCATAACCAAATCTCATTAGCTTTATTACCACATCTCATTAGCATTATTCCCACATATCTTTAGCTTTATAACCACATCTCATTTGCATTCTTAGCGCATCTCATTAGCTCTATAACCACATCTCATTTGCATTCTTAGCACATCTCATCAGCTTTATAGCCACATCTCATTTGCATTCTTAGCGCATCTCATCAGCTTTATAACCACATCTCATTAGCTTTATTACCACATCTCATTAGCTTTATTACCACATCTCATTAGCATTATTACAACATATCTTTAGCTTTATAACCACATCTCATTGGCATTTTTACCACATTTCATTTGCATTCTTAGCGCATCTCATTAGTTGTATTAACACATCTCATTGGTTGTATTAACACATCTCATTGGCATTCTAAGCACATCTCATTGGCATTTTTACCACATCTCAATGGCATTCTAAGCACATCTCAATGGCATTTTTACCACATCTCATTGGCATTCTTCATTGACCACTGGACCAATTATTCTATTTATTTAGAGAATAAACCTTTAACAGATTTTTAAATTGCTTTTCTGAAAATCTTGAATAAGATAAAAGAGGATTTGAGGTATATTTCAATGAGACAGCATGCCAACAACACACTTAACAATATAATTAAGATGGCAAAAATTCTATTCTGTGATAATAGGTGTCTAAAAAATTATTAAATGTGGCCAAATAATAAGTATCTTTGATAAATTTTTTTCTCGTACCAAAAAAGCTTAAGATTATAAAGGTCAGTGTTTTTACTTCATATTTTTTATCCAATAAAAGTGTTTTTGGCATGGAAAATTCTATTACAAAGTTAATTAAGTTTCATTTGGCCAGGAGGAGGCTAATTTTGTATTTACAAACTAACAAATCTGAAAGCTGCTTTAAGCATTTACATTATTTTAATGGGTTTAGTATTTTTTTACCATTGGAGAGTTATGTCCCTTATTATTAGAAAAGATTTGTTTTTTTAATTATAAATTTCACAATGTACCACTTTACAAAACTGAAAAGATTTATTTTGGAAGATTCAAAATTTAAAATCTTATATTGTTTCCTTTAAATAAAAAAGAGCTTAATTCTGCAACAATTATCTTTAACGTTTGTGCTGAAACTAAATTGGAAATTTGGATATAATTACTTTTTAATCTAAAACATGATAAAGGATGTTTTTTGTTTATTCAGACATCTACACTTTTAATCAGCAATACCTCAAACCAGTACAAACATTTCAACAGAAACTTTGGACAACATTAAAAGACACTGAAGGTCGGTGTTTTTTCAGGTGCCATTTATATGGCTTCCGCCAATAAAAACTGGCAGCCTTGTAATAGCCAGGAGTACTACAAGTGGCGTTGAAACAGTCATATCTTTCCAGAATAGATAAATAGCTTGTAGTTACTGAATTATGACAGGCTAGACTGGCTGTTGTTATACAAATTATTAAGGGAGTTTTCCAATGCAAACATTTATTATGCCTCATTTATGGGCATTATGTTTTCTGGTCTGTGCCTCCGTTCGTTCGTCCTGCTTCAGGTTAAAGTTTTTGATGAAGTCCAATCAACTTGAAACTTTGTACACATGTTCCCTATGATATCATCTTTCTAATTTTAATGCCAAATTAGAGTTTTTTCCTCCATTTTCAGAGTCCACTGAACATAGAAAATGATAGTGCGGATGGGGCATCCGTGTACTATGGACACAATCTTATATGTCTTTACCAAATAGGAAGGGAGAAAGGGTTCAGGGGCGGAACCAGCAATCTTTAAAAAAAAGGGGGTCCAACCCAGGAGAAAGTGCGGGTTTTAAATATATATCCCCATTCAAATGCATTATCATTAAAAAAAAAAGGGGGTTCCAACCCCAACCCCTGGATTGGCCACTGGGGTCACAAAAATTTTACAGACTTGGAAATAATTTTGATATGTAATAGACCCATTATTTTAAAACAAAGACTTTCAGACTGGATTTGCATACCAAAAATAAAAATTGGTTTGTATTCCTACTCATATTCATATTGTTAACAAGAAGTTCTCTTTCTAAAAGAAGATATTAAAAACCTATCCCTCTACAAGACTAGTACCTTAAACCCTTATCTGAAAACTCACTCCATCAGTCTCTATTCTCTCTCCCCTATCCCCTCCCCTCTCCCTTCTCATTTCTCTCCCTCTCTTGTCTTCCATCCTTCCAACCTATTTAATTAAGTACCAATTGTTAGTAATGGTTAGTGTTGATACTTTAAGAATAAGATGTTTTTTATATTAAGATACAACCTGTAGAGGGATGGATAATTTTGCATGGAGACATACTTTTCAATTAAATATTTTTAAACCAAATATAAAAATTGATGTTTTCTGTTACTACTAGGAATTGAACAACAGAATGAACAAATAAACAAAAATAAAATGAATATGAATATTTTAAAAAGAATACTTTTCACTACCAATTATAACCACCTCAATGGTCCTATGCTTGCCTGATGTGTTGGAGGTAAAGGGCTCTATCCCATGTATGGACAAACCAAAGACTTTAAAAGGGGTATTTGCTGCTTCTCCCTTAAGCAAGTAGTATTTAAAAGTAAGAGCAAAGTCTAGTTGACTCTGAGTCAGAATAATGTATCCGGAAGGGTTGGAGATCTTTCTCAGACTAACATCCTTTACTTTGGGAAATTCCCAAAATTATACTGATAAACCTTGCATTACGAAATTGTTATCTTAAATGTTCTGTTCTGAAAGTTCCTTTAAAAATCTGTAAAATGGTTTAGGAATAGCTGATACATATATGTTCTACGTCTGATTTTTAAGGGCAATTTGATCTAAAATTTGAAAAATTATTTCACCATTTTTTAACTTTATCTTTAACATCAGACATGAATTATGGTTTTATTAAAATTTAAAGGGAATATATCATTATTCGTCTTCATTTATAAATTTCCATATTATTTATCTTGAAATTTCCAAATGAAGGACAAAAGGTATTAACATTATTTATCTTTATTTAAAATGCATTAACTAATCTTTTGACGTTTTTTTGTTTGTGTTGTTGGTTGCTGTTCACTTACATATATCAAAACAATCCTCAGAAATAAAAATGTATACTCTTAATTATATTTAATTCAAGTTAAAAGAATGTATCCATTCTGTATCATGATATACCGGTAATTAAATCCAAAATTTTAGTTAAAAGAATGAATCCATTCTGTATCATGATATAATTAAATCCCAAATTCCAGTTAAAAGAATGTATCCATTCTGTTTCATGATATAATTAAATCCCAAATTCAAGTTAAAAGAATGTATCCATTCCGTATCATGATATAATTAAATCCAAAATTCCAGTTAAAAGAATGTATCCATTCTGTTTCATGATATAATTAAATCCTGAATTCCACTTAAAAGAATGTATCCATTCCGTATCATGATATAATTAAATCCTAAATTCCAGTTAAAAGAATGTATCCATTCTGTTTCATGATATAACTAAATCCCAAATTCCAGTTAAAAGAATGTATCCATTCCGTATCATGATATAATTAAATCCCAAATTCCAGTTAAAAGAATGTATCCATTCAGTATCATGATATAATTAAATCCCAAATTCCAGTTAAAAGAATGTATCCATTCTGGTTCATGATATAATTAAATCCCAAATTCAATTTAAAAGAATGTATCCATTCCGTTTCATGATATAATTAAATCCCAAATTCCAGTTAAAAATGTATCCATTCTGTATCATGATATAATTAAATCCCAAATTCCAGTTAAAAGAATGTATCCATTCCGTATCATGTCCTTCATGATATAATTAAATCCCAAATTCCAGTTAAAAGAATGTATCCATTCCATATCATGATATAATTAAATCCCAAATTCCAGTTAAAAGAATGTATCCATTCCGTTTCATGATATAATTAAATCCAAAATTCAATTTAAAAGAATGTATCCATTCCATTTCATGATATAATTAAATCCCAAATTCCAGTTAAAAGAATGTATTATCCATTCCGTATCATGATATAATTAAATCCCAAATTCCAGTTAAAAGAATGTATCCATTCCGTTTCATGATATAATTAAATCCCAAATTCCAGTTAAAAGAATGTATCCATTCCGTTTCATGATATAATTAAATCCCAAATTCCAGTTAAAAGAATGTATCCATTCCGTTTCATGATATAATTAAATCCCAAATTCAAGTTAAAAGAATGTATCCATTCCGTTTCATGATATAATTAAATCCCAAATTCCAGTTAAAAGAATGTATCCATTCCGTATCATGATATAATTAAATCCCAAATTCAAGTTAAAAGAATGTATCCATTCCATATCATGATATAATTAAATCCCAAATTCCAGTTAAAAGAATGTATCCATTCCATATCATGATATAATTAAATCCCAAATTCCAGTTAAAAGAATGTATCCATTCTGTTTCATGATATAATTAAATCCCCCAAATTCCAGTTAAAAGAATGTATCCATTCTGTATCATGATATAATCAAATCCCAAATTCAAGTTAAAAGAATGTATCCATTTTGTTTCATGATATAATTAAATCCCAAATTCCAGTTAAAATAATGTATCCATTCCGTATCATATAATTTAATCCCAAATTCCAGTTAAAAGAATGTATCCATTCCGTATCATGATATAATTAAATCCCAAATTCCAGTTAAAAGAATGTATCCATTCCATATCATGATATAATTAAATCCCAAATTCAAGTTAAAATAATGGACCCATTTCTGCATCACGATATAATTAAACCCCAAGCATTTTTTTTCTTTTTTTTTCTATTTTTCTTAAAATCATTAAAAATCATCACCCATGCATATTTTTTTTTTCTTTTTTTTTTTACTATTTTTCTTAAAATCATTAAAAACCATCACCCATGCATATTTTTTTTTTTTTTCTATTTTTCTTAAAATCATTAAAAACCATCACCCATGCATATTTTTTTTTTTTTTCTATTTTTCTTAAAATCATTAAAAACCATCACCCATGCATATTTTTTTTTTTTTTCTATTTTTCTTAAAATCATTAAAAACCATCACCCATGCATATTTTTTTTTTTTTCTATTTTTCTTAAAATCATTAAAAACCATCACCCATGCATATTTTTTTTTTTTTTCTATTTTTCTTAAAATCATTAAATACCATCACCCATGCATTTTTTTGTTTTTTTCTATTTTTCTTAAAACTATATACACATTTGACACGTACCACATTTTCATAAATAATTTTTCTGTTTCCTTCTGAAAATCTTTAACAAAAATATTGAAAAACAGTTTTGAAATGGTCATTCCCCTTTTTACACAAAAATTTGACAACTTAAATATGTTACATTTACAATAAAATTTACAAATTATTTAAAAACAACAAAAGTGTGAAAAGAGATATAGGCACCAAACTTACTTTTCTGAAACATGTGTATCCATTTCTTTGAGTTCAAAGTTCATTGTAAAGCCAATTCTGTCATCAATACAAACTGAACAACTAAATTTGGATTCCAATGGATATCAGATACCAGTAAATTTGGAGAATGCAGTGCACCTATGGATTTGAATTTGATTTTTTTGGTGTTTTAACACCACTTTTAAGCACTACTTTGGCTATTTCATGGCGGCCAGTTTGTATTGGTGGAGGAAGCCAGAGTGCCTGGAGAAAACCACTGACCTTCAATAGGAAAACTAACAACCCTAAGTCAATTAAGATTGGAGTCATGTGCACCCGCACGAGCAGGGTTCGATCTCACAACCTCAGTGTTGACTGGCTAGTGATTACAGTAGTAACTACTTAGACCACTTGGCCACCGAGGCTCCCATGTTCCTATGGATACCTTATTTACATTGGTAAGACACATGGGATGTTCCTATGGATACCTTCATTACTTTGGAGAGAAACATGTGATGTTCCTATGGATACCTTCATTACTTTGGAGAGAAACGTGATGTTCCTATTGATACCTTTATTACTTTGGAGAGGAACATGTGATGTTCCTATGGATACCTTCATTACTTTGGAGAGGAACATGTGATGTTCCTATGGATACCTTTATTACTTTGGAGAGGAACATGTGATATTCCAATGGATACCTTCATTACTTTGGAGAGAAACATGTGATGTTCCTATGGATACCTTCATTACTTTGGAGAGAAACATGTGATGTTCCTATGGATACCTTCATTATTTTGGAGAGGAACATGTGATGTTCCAATGGATACCTTCATTACTTTTGAGAGGAACATGTGATGTTCCAAAGGATACCTTCATTACTGTGGAGAGGAACATGTGATGTTCCTATGGATACCTTTATTACTTTGGAGAGGAACATGTGATGTTCCTATGGATACCTTTATTACTTTGGAGAGGAACATGTGATGTTCCTATGGATACCTTCATTACTTTGGAGAGGAACATGTGATGTTCCTATGGATACCTTTATTACTATGGATACCTTTATTACTTTGGAGAGGAACATGTGATGTTCCAATGGATACCTTCATTACTTTGGAGAGGAACATGTGATGTTCCAATGGATACCTTTATTACTTTGGAGAGGAACATGTGATGTTCCAATGGATACCTTCATTACTTTGGAGAGGAACATGTGATGTTTCAATGGATACCTTCATTACTTTGGAGAGGAACATGTGATGTTCCAATGGATACCTTCACTACTTTGGAAAGGAACATGTGATGCTCCTATGGATACCTTCATTACTTTGGAGAGGAACAAGTGATGTTCCTATGGATACCTTCATTACTTTGGAGAGGAACATGCGATGTTCCAATGGATACCTTTATTACTTTGAAGAGGAACATGTACTGTAATGTTCCTATGGGTATATTAATTTCTGGTAAAAATGGGACATGTTCCCATGGATACTCTAAATTCAGGGAACATCTAATTTACCAAATTTAAAACTTTAAAAAGAAGCTTAGAAAAGGACGGAGGATCTTTTTATCACTTTATTTAAATTCTGTATCTTCAGGTTTCCGTCCCCCTTTTTTCTGTTAAAATTTGTTCTTTATTTTTTTTTAAGAGGGGAGGCTATTTCAATTAATCTAAATTTTAAATATTTAGCTTCCAATCTCTGTTTCACATCAAAATTTATCTCAACGAAGGAGATGTGTGAAACATATATTTAATTTGAAGGAAAATTTAACAGTTATTATAAGTTAATATGAAGGATTTGGTTATTCTGGGTTTTTTATAATTTGTCCTTTGTCTATTATTAATTGAAAATGACTTTAGGGATTATGTTTTTGAGACAGCAACTAAACAACACAAAAAACCTGGACTCCAGAGGTCAATATAGTCTCCAACAAAAACAAGTTTCTATACTATAGGTCAAGTACTTAATTGTATGTTTTTGTGGTTTTTTTACAACACAAAATTGTTTAAATAGAGTGAGATTTTATTTACTCAATTTTAATGAAAGGAATTCAGAAACACGCATAAGTGTTTAAACCAAAGGTTTCTAATGAAATGTTCAATTGATGTTTTAAAGTTTAAAAGGTACACTTTGGTTCTTGTTTGACAACTTTAAGAAAGACCACTTTAATGGTTAATTTGAACACTGGAATATCTTTATTAAAAACTGAAAGTTTAAACGGGAATATTTTTTCATTATCATTTTTATCCAAAAGTACTGGGGTATTTGTGCTCCACAAACTTCAAAGCAACAATAAAATCATCACAACAATGTGAATACAACATTAACACATAACTTACTTCATTCAATGGACAGCAACTCTTTCCCCATTCCCTCTTTTATCTCCCCCAGTTCACCAGGCCATGGATGTAACCTTCTCCCTCTTTTATCTCCCCAAATACACCAGGCCCTGGGTTTCCCCTCTCCTTTTATCTCCCCACTTCACCAGAGTCCCTGGGTTTCCCCTCCCCTTTCTTTAAGCCCTAAAATCCCAGGCCAAGGTATTTCCCTTATTCCTCCCTACCTGCCCAAAATCCAAGTCCCAGGTCAATTTTAAATAGATGTTGCTATATTGGGCTAGGAGTTAATTAAATAGAACAATGAAAGAAAACATCAGCAAGCCAGCATAAGCTTTACATGTTAATTTATATATGCAATGCTAATTATCTTATGCAGGTATGCAGGTTTATGCAGATTGTGCAGTGTTAGATACATTGTTATACTTGACTTGCCAGTGTTAACTTTGGATATACTTTATATTTTTGTAAAAAAAGAAATTTTAACCCAGCAAGTTATGTAATAATGTTGTACTCAGACACTATAATAATGCAATATCATTCACATCAAGTTGTTGAAAGCCCAAATCTTTTGCTGAATTAAAAATTTTAAACTTACTTCATTGCAAGAAAAAAGAATTTTTAATTATTTTGCTTTATTATTATTTTTTTTAGATATTTTGTTAATTTTGTCTACTCTTTTCTTTATAGATATTTAGTTAATTTAGTCGACTTTTTTCTTTATAGGTATTTAGTTAATTTAGTCGACTTTTTTCTTTATAGATATTTAGTAAATTTTGTGGACTTTTTTCTTTAAAGATATTTAGTAAATTTTGTGGACTTTTTTCTTTATAGATATTTAGTAAATTTTGTGGACTTTTTTCTTTATAGATATTTAGTAAATTTTGTGGACTTTTTTCTTTATAGATATTTAGTAAATTTAGTCGACTTTTTTCTTTATAGATATTTAGTAAATTTTGTGGACTTTTTTCTTTAAAGATATTTAGTAAATTTTGTGGACTTTTTTCTTTATAGATATTTAGTAAAATTTTGTTGACTTTTTTCTTTAAAGATATTTAGTAAATTTTGTCGACTTTTTTTTTTTATAGATATTTAGTAAATTTTGTTGACTAATTTTGAACTATAAACACTAAACATATTGTATAGATGCCTATCTTTGTTGAAGACTATGTTGACCTAAAGACGCCTTGTTTTTGTTGTTTGTTAAGTACCCCTCATTGATGTATACCAAATATATTCTTTAATTTATCAGAAGCTGCCAAATTAAGATACAGAAACCTTTTTTAATATTTTTTTAAATTTTAAGAGAGTGGTCAAGGTTAAAATGAACAAATGCGAAATTTTTGGGATGTTTAATAGGAAATTAGTGATATTTTCTTTTTTTGTTTGACTTCTGATCTGTTACTTTTTATAAATGCTCTCAATGAATTATAAAACAGAAGTGGTCATTTTATCCTTCATCCAGAAGTGAAAATTGCTGAAAAAAATTCCTTTATTTAAACTATGAAATTTATGTAGGGGACTTTAATGTTCATTTTCTTTCTAAAGGGGGGTGACAATTTAATGTTTTAAATGAGTCAAAGGAAATATTTTGTATTTTTCATCAAAATTTCAAAAGCTAAATGGAATGTTGCACTGTTATGCTGGATTTTTTTGCCCCATACATGGACATTATGTTTTCTGGTCTTACCCGGTCTTCTGTTTGTCGGTCCGTTCTTTTGTTTGTCTGTTCGTTCGTCTGTCACACTTCAGGTTAAAAATTACTCTGGTATTAGATGCAACTTTTAGATTTTAAATTTTAACAGGATGTGGCTATGTATTAACTAAACGGTGGCTAATCTTTGGCAAGCGTTTTACTGACGGTCAGAAGAAGACCAAGGGATGACCATATTTTTATACGCCAGTCAACCCTTGGGGAAGGGAGTTATTTTTGTGAAAATAGGTACACATATATTTAAAGCTGTTTAGCAGGAAAATGCTTCTTACATGTGCTTGTTGCTTTTAAGCAATTAATCATATCTGTGATCCTGCTAACAGATATAATCATTCTGTAGAAGTAAACATTGGCCTTGACCTGACACTGCATATCTTTGACCTTACAAATAACCATTCTTACAAATAGTTTGATCTTAAATCTAGTAGACCTCTACCATTTAAAGGAGTAATGACCATTCTATTCTTGTCAATGTTGACCTGAACTTTAAACCTCTAACCTATGACCAAACTTTAAAAGAAAATGTTGACCTGAAATGATTGGATATCTATACTGATTGACCTTGACCTGGCTGATAATTATGGTGATCCATTTTGACAGTTGTCCAGCCTGAAAGTTTAACGTGTGTTGGATAAAAAGAACAGTGGTTACAAAAAGACAGACACACTCTTTATAAATTTCCAAGTTAAGTAAATTAAACATTAAAAACTTTCATTTAAATTAAAACAAAATATTTTCATAAAACTTTAATGATTAAATAGCCAAAATTATTAAAACACTCATTCTGAAGTTTTGAAGAAATTGTGTTACTTAGCAAAGAATGAAAATCTTTCAAAAATAAACTGAATGACCATAAATCAAAACAAAAATTTCAAGTTTCAAAAATTAGCTTTTCCAAACATTTTTTTTTAAACTAAAACAAAAATTTATACTTTTCCAAACTTTTTTTTTTAAACTAAAGCAAAAATTTATACTTTTCCAATTTTTTTTTTCCAAAGAAAATATACAAAATGTATATGTATTTATCAAAAATTAACCAAAAAATAAGACAGCTGAGATAGTTTGGTATGAAGTAACAAGGCAGCCTAGCACTCTAGCCACCTGTCTCCACCCAGCAAACCTCCCAGCTGCCTCAGGGACAGGAGCAACCTCAACCACTGGAGCAGGGATCACCTCCCAGTCCAAAGGAACACCTACATCATTACCTATAACAACATATGGTGTGACTGGAGTGGCTGGAACCTCAACCTCTTCAGGACCATACCAAACAGTCTCTTCAGCGTGGTTGGTTGTTGCATCCTCGTCCACTACCTCCTCGAACACAACAGTCTCCTCCTCTGTTGGCAGGAAAGACACAGTCTCCTCCAGGAACCAGTCGGCTGGGTCCTCCACCGTTGTGTCCATACCACACAGCACAGAGGCCTCCACAGACAGCTCAATGACCTCTTCCTCCTCCAGAGTTGACTCCAGAACCGAGAGCTCCTCGCCAGCGAACTCCACCTCGACCATATCATCCTCGTCAATGATAACTTCATCAGCTATTTGTATAGCTGCTTCAGGAACCATGACCGAGAATAATCGTGCACGAGGTACGACTGCTTCGAAATGTTCAGGTTGATCATTTCTTGGCAGCTCAGGAGAGGCAACTGGGACAAGTACTGGTTCAGGCTCCAACCCTAAAAGACGACGAGAGCATCGTGGTGCCTCTACTCGTGGAGCCACATAGCCGTATGGCATACCAACTCGTCGGAGACGCCTGTTCATATGGTTGTCCACGTAGGTCCTCACACTGAAATATAATAAATTGAATATAATACATATTCTGCTTTCCCACTTTTTTTTTAACATAACATTCACATGTCAAACTATACAAACTTTGATTATGAATTTAAATCATTGAGATACTGTAAATTCAGAAATTATTACATCAATTTATAATTGTGATTTTTTAAGAAAGTACTAAATTATTCATTTAAAAAAAAATATTACTAATTTCTAAATTTACAGTAACAAAGAAAATAAATAGAAATAATTCAGTTTCAGAAAATAAGCTATTATAGCCAAATAAGAAGCAAGTTAAGAACAGGCTTTTTTTCAAGTTTATATGCATGTTTTCTTAAGTTTGGACATTAACAAAACAGGCAAAAACAAGAATGTGTCCATAATACACAAGTGCCCCAATCGCACTATCGTTTTCAATATTCAGTGGACCTTGAAATTGGGGTAAAGGCTCTAATTCAGCATTAAAATTAAAAAGATCATATCATAAGGAACATGTGTACAAAGTTTCTAGTTGATAGGACTTCAACTTCATCAAAAACTACCGTGACCAAAAACTTTAACCTGAAGCGGGACAGACAGAGGAACGGATGAACAGACCAGAAAAAATAAATGGGGCATAAAAATAAGTTGAGAAATCGTCCCGGTTTCCACAACATTAAGACAATTGAAAACAGAGCTTAGGGTTCAACATACTTAATATCAAAGTCAGAAAGGTCAATTTGATGTTTAAAGTTATCTATTGTCAACATACGAGTTGTATTGTCTCCTATCTAATATTGACAAGTTTTCATTCAAGTTTGCTGAAAGTCTGAATTTGTGTTATTTGTGATGTCATGAAAACACTTATACATAAAGTTTTACGAAATTGACATATTTCATTAATCTGGTCATTGATTTAGCTATAATTATAAATCATTGAGTGTGATATGATATTTATCCAATCGAGACAGTTAAATTTTCAAATTTAAAATGCAAGGCTTGCCAGAGCGTTTTTAATATTTAAAATTTAACTGTCAAGAATGGATAAATATCATATCACACTCAATGATTTATAATTATACCAGATTTGGTGGTGGAATCAGTTTCTCTAGGGATTTTTATGCTAAAATGCAAGCAAACTTATTCCTTTTTTCATGATTTATCTGAAAAAGATGTGTTCTTTCTATACAACGTCATCAGACATGGTCCCCTTTTTTAATGACGTCACAATAAGAGATTCAGAGGAAAGCAAGAAAATGTGACGTCATAATCGAAATTTTACCAATGAATGATCTGAGATCAAATGAACCACACGTTGATTAAATAAAAATGATCAACCGGTTTGGAAAACAATAAATCGGCTTAGAATTAGAGAAATATAAATATATATAATAATTGTGTGCTTCATAATGACAATATATTGTAGTTTAAAATTTTAGCCGTTTTGAAATCTCATCAAACCTCATGCTTTCCCCCGTCTGTACCCAAAATGAAAATACCTCATATAAGTGATTTAGTTTTCAATTGTTTTAAGCTTTATAAGTAGTTGTAATAAATTAATTTGGTGTAAGCCTTTGAAAATATTACCATGAATGCTTTAGATTCCAGTTTAGAAGGCATGAAATTTTGTAAGTTTAATGGTAATTATCTGACCATCTAAAACTTGAAATTAAAGGATTAAACTGTAAAAAAATCAAGTGTTGTTTTTCAACAAAAAAATCAAGGGGTGATAATTGTATTAAAAGGAGTAGGGGCAGTAAGGCACATATTTGGCCCAAAAATTACTGCAAATTTAAAAGTTGTCATACATATTCTAAACTTACTGAAAACTTGACTACGGTACAAGGAATTCAGAAAAACAAAATAAGTTAGACATTTAACAAGTTTCCATGGCAACAAATCATGACTTAATTTGCATGTTTTGTAAAATTTCGTGATATTTCTTATTTTTCATTAAATTTCAAGTATATTTTAGATTGAAAAAATATGTGCTTACCCAAGAAACAACTTTATATTTGGTGAGATTATGTCAATGTTATAATAAAGCTTCTGTTAAATTATTTTGTTATTTCTTGGCTGCACACGATTTTTCCACAATGGAAATAAAGATAGAAAACTGCAAAAATTCTGTATTTTTCATTGTTTTTGTGAAAACAGTACATATTATGACGTAATTGTGACGTCATCAGATAAAAATCTTTGTGTTTTTCATTTATATTTCTTGACCCTATGCATTTCTAAACATAATGTGCCAATTTGAAATAGTTATCTAACATTTTATTTTCTTGGGCCAAAACCAGGCCTTAATGCCCCGCCCCCACTCCTTTACAGGACAAATTGAATTCTTCAAAAAAGTAAGGCATGTGACCCCCTTTTGTCTTTTTATTTGATATTTTTCTGTGCAATTTATAAAATAAAATACTCTCATTGAATCATTACCAATTCTATTGTTTAATGTTTCCTCTTCTTCACTGAGGACAACTAGGTATGCCTGCAGACAGTTGGGGCAAAAATGGAAATAATATTCAAGCCTGATACAGGTCTGAATTTAGATTGTAATTGAATATTTGACATATTATAGGTTTCTGAATAAATGTAGTCAAAGAAGTTGAAATTGGTCATGTGAATTGAATTTATATTCAATTAAAGATTTCTTGTTGTTGTGCAATACACTGTTGCTCATTACTTAGTAAATCTGTTGTCAGACTCAACAAATAAAGTTAAATTTATTCTCAATATCATATTAGAAATTTATAAAAATCAAAAGAGAGCTTACATGAATAGATGTAAATAATTCACTTTAAGTTTCATTAGAATTGCTGAAAGCATTTTTGAGTTTTTGTGCGAAAACTGAAAAATACCCCTTTATTATGAATAAAACCCTGTAATCAGAAACTTAAAAACTAAAATTTATAAAAATCGAAAGGGAGCTCATGTCAATAGATATAAACAATTCACCACAATTTCTTGCAACTTGGTGAAAGCATTCTTGAGTTATTGTATGAAAACTGGAAAATCCCCCTTTTTTTAATTTATAAAACCCCATAACTCTTAAACATATAATCTAAAATTTATAAAAATATATTATATCATGTCAATAGAAATTAACAATTCACCAAAGTTTTATGCAAATTGGTTCAAGCGTATTTGAGTTAATGTCCAGCATGTTGATGAATGACGGACAGACTGACGGACAATGGTATACCATAATACGTCCCATAAATGTGCATATAAAAATTAAGTTTCCCCTATATAAATAAAATAATTGATTTCGTTAATTTCAATGTATCTTGGGGAACACTGGTCTATCTTCAGCATATCAATAAAAAAAATTCAAAGGGTGAACAACAATGAAACTACAGCAACCCAACAAAACAAATAACTAAAGGACATCTAGGTCAACAGTTGTTGATTTCAAAACAGATAAGTGTCTTTACTTTACTTGTTATTTTTGACATTCTGTTGATCCCCATGTCTGCTTATACAAGATATTTGAACACAAAACTTCTACATTAGAATGCCCAAGTAAAGTCACCTTAAGCTTGTACCCAAGACCTTGACTAACATTAATTTGGCTCGTTTAATTTTTATAAAATTTTGACACAATATTTGATTTGATCCTTTGAAAGAAATATAAAAATTTCAAAAATCTTCAACAAATCACTTTATCGGAAAAATTTCATTGGATACATAGCAGTTTGGCAAACTAATTTTGATCATTGAGAAGCTTAATATTTTCTTTAAAACAATACAATGCGATTAACGGTTTATCTGATTTTACAGAGTTGTCTCCCTGTAGTGTTGGGTATCACCTTAATGTCAGATATTTATTCAGTCTCTCTACAGGTCCCAAGTTTATCATCTTATCATAGAATGATAAAGAGGCAAATTGTTGCTGTGCTTTTTTTATTCAATTATTTTATGGGCAGGTTAGTGCATTCAAAAGACTACTTGTAAATCTTGAACTTGATGAATGCTAGAATTATTGGGCATACATTTTCTGATAGGTAAATTAAAATAAACAAAACATTTTGTCTGTATCCTGAACATGATGAAAAAATCTTTTTGGTTACTCATTATATTGCATTTAGAAAGAAAACAAATTTATAATAATGATATCTATATATGAATACATAAAT